TTTATAATTTATTTTATTATGATGATAGAGGCACTGATAGGCTTCCAAATTACTTTAAAATTGTGAATATGTCACTAAAACATTGTCCAGCTGATTTGATCTCTCTCTCTATATATATGTATGTCTAGTAGTCTTTTATTTACTTGTGGAAGAACATGGATTTTGGGGTATTTTAAAGAGTGACTTGGGGATTTTTTTATCAGGGATTTTGCAGTTTTTAAATAGGCAACACCAGAATTCCTGCTAATGAGGCAAGTGGCAGGACCCAGGCAAAGGAGCCTGCTCAGAGCTGGCACCCAGGACCCTGCTAGAGGTGGCTGACCTCCAGGCCTTTTGGGGCCAGGAAAACATGCTTTGACAGGGCAGAGCAGGCCAGCACACTGAGAACATCTTCTGGGCGACAGCTGCCCAGATGGCTGGTGGTGGCACACATGGCAGTAGTGCTGCACAAAGGCCAACTGTGCTGCCACAGTCCACTGGCAGCTGGACCAGAGGTACAAATGCCTCTAATGGCTATGCAGTCCCCATCCAGGTTTGGCAGGTGTGCAGTCTTGGGGCCACATGCTGTCACAGGTCACAGCCAGGCAGCAGCTCCTACTGCCAGACTGCTGCAGTGGGCAGAGGGTACAGGAAACTCTCAGGGCTGCTTCAGCAGTCCAGCTGACACACAGGGTAGTGTCCCCAGGTAACAATTAGCCAGGCCCCAGAAGCTCCTGAAAGTGAGTAGCCCTGAGCCAGGGCACCTTTTTATTCTGCTGGGTCCAGCACAGGGCAGGCCTCTAGCTCACAGTGGCTGCAGATGCAGGAGAAGCCAGGCAGGGTTATTTTGCCCCAAGAGGCACAATTTGCCCCACTGAAGCAAAAAGCCCTGGCTCAAATTTGTGCCGCTTCTATTTGAGCTGCTGCAAATGCACATGCCTGCATGTGTAGACGCATCCTTAGAGAGCTCTTGGCAAGGCCTTGGCACCTAATGTCCCACAAGAACAGCATGAGGTCACACAGGGTCACCAAAGGTCTGTCCTAAATGAAATGACCCCTCCACAGCCATTGTTCACAGAATATTAATGTTGCTCCCTTACGCCTGTCTCAAAAATACAAGGGGAGGAGCTTGAGCAGGCAAATCCAAGAGTGAAAGCCATGTTCACATCCAAAAATGGTGCAGACAGTCGCATAGCCTACCATCATGTTGTCAGGCGGGTCCCCTTGGCCTGTCGTTGCACACACAAATACCACCAAAGACTCATTGATGAGGTTTGCCTACATGCAAAAACAAACATGAAAACACAGATGTACAGTTAGCAAGCTGTGACCACAGGACACAGCATCCCATGTACAGCCGTGGCCCAACCCACCACAGTGCAGGCTGCTGTGCCTCACCACAGCCTTGAACACCCCACCATGTTCACCAGCCAGATGAAGCCACAGCACTGTGAATATGCTGCCATTATACACCACAGTTAGCACTGCGATGAGCCACAGGTATGCAATGGCAAGGCCCACACTTGCACAAAGCATCAGAGCTCAGAAACCAGCTATGCCAGAGGCCTGTCCTAAATGAAAGGGAGGGAGGGGAACTAGGTACAGGTACAGAAATAAGCACACTAAGGCTTTTACTCCATATTCCCACCATCTGTTGCTAGCAGGGTATCACTTAGCAGCACTGCCCCAAACTAGCTGTGCTGGCCTCAGCCAATCAGAATGTGAATAAAGCGTTATAGACCTACAGACAGACAGATTAAGGCTTTTATAATATTAGAATTCTGATTCAGGACACCCACCAACTTTTGCAGAACAAGTTCATCCTCCTTACCTTATAGAAATCAGTTCTAAGTAATCAGATTAGTCAGATCAATGTAAGTTGACCTGGATAAGATCATATTGATCTCTGACTGATCTCCCCCACTTGCTCTCTCTTACAGCAGTGTTAAGCATGCAGGCCTGCAAGATGACTCTAGGGACAGCATGAGAACCAGGACTTATCAAAGCAGAGGTCGAAGTGACAGATGCTGTCCAAAATGCCCTAAGAGAAATTCAGTTCAGGACAACCTATACAGAAGCTGCACAAATGTTTCTCTGCATCAGTATTCATTGCCCCCCCACACCCCAAAACTCACCACATTGTAATTGTCCAGGGCTTCCACCCTACAGAAGAAGTGGCGCCGCTTGGCTTCTCTGCTGATTCTCTCAGCTGCATCTTGAGCTGTCCCTGTCTGGCTACCAAAGAGAATGAGGAGTTTCCGTTCCGACATCTGGAGGAGACAAAACCAGCCAAGGAATTACAGGACAACAAGGCAAAATGCGAGCCAAGGCGAATCCTTGCTCACTAAGTCAAGCTAGGACTCAAAAGAAGCACTAGCAGGACTTGGTTCCTATGTATTTTGAAGGAGGAAAGCAGAATGCTTTAGCATAAAGGATATGTAAAAATACAGAAAGGAAACATGGTTAAATGAGACACTAGAAATCAGGGCTCCTGGATTTCCAACTCTGGCTGATTTGCTGTCTAGTCTCAGCCCTGTACCTCAATTTCCCCGTCTGTAAAATAGGGGTGGCATCAGTTCCAACCACACAGGTTGAAGGGACAAATTTTGAGATATAATTTACATTTGTAAAGAGCTGTGAGTCTCTGGTGTATTCCAAAGTGAGGGGATACTGCTGACTCAAACACTGGCTAATTTTAGAAATGTGTTAGAAGTAGGTATTGGCCCCAATTTTTTTGCCTATGTTTTCAAATTTACAGTCCCATTTTCCTTATCACTCCTGTAGCTGAGTGAAGGAGTCATGTAACCAGCAGAGGTGAATAACTACCTGGAGAAACAGCAAGAATGTTGTACAACTGATTTATTTTTCTCTCCAATCCTTTTTAGTTACAGGAATCCTGGACAATCCTAGTGACAAAAGCCCAAGGCAAATCTAACCCAGACACAAGGGAGAGCTATAAATCACTGGTGTCTCAATGAGAAGGTATGACTCACCGTTAATTCCAGTCATGGGGAAAGGAAGAGGCCTGATGGTTCCCATGAGAGCAGTCCTGGGATTCTTAAAAAGGTTCCCACTGGCACATAATATCCTTGCCTGATATCAATGTGGTTCCTTTCAGCCCCAGAGCCATAAGGCTTATTCCAAAATTCAAATGGACCCAACCAGAAATTTGGGAAACTCTCTTGGGTACATGCTGCTCAGCCAACAAAGACAGCAGAAACATAACTTTCTCCCACCAGTCCCTGCTAGGAACTATCCTGGAAAAAGTGGAGGGCAGTACCCAGCAGGCACACAGGCAGCATGTTTAGTTCCTACCCCACTGCCCCCATAGCCTCAGCCATGGTTGGCAACTTGATACATGAAGCACAAAGTGGAAAGAGGAAGTGGCTGGTGTGCATGGCGCTCTAACCATCCATAAGGGAAGGTCTGTCTATAGGATACTGCAAGCAGCTAGTGCAAGTTGCAGCAGGCCCCATGCACAGGGCAGAAACCCAGGAGCAATCCCTACTGGCTGCTCACCTCCCAGCCCCTGCCTACAAGGGGTTGTTAAGGGATGGAAAGGCACTCAGTGCTAAGGCTGCCCTAGCCTCAGGCAGAGCCACTCAAGCCCTATCTTGCTCCCCCTGGGGTTCCCATAGCCCAACAGAAAGGCAGGCAATGGAGCAACCAGTGCTACTTGGCTTCCTCCCGTAATACATCAAACAGCCAGGGGAGAGCTGTTTCCCAGGGAAGAGGCAAAATCGGTTGTACTGATTTTTGGTGCAACTTCTGCAGGCAGCCTTAAAAGGCACTGGCAACAGAGATTGGGGAAACTGAACACTCATGGAAAAGCCTGGCCCAGAGGCACATGCTGCAGCATTAACTAAACATGCCCAAACCTTGGGTGTCACAGGCTTTGCACACAAAATTTTGAGATGTTTGAAAAGGAAAGGCAACAACCTATGTTCCATTAGAAGTCAAGTGCTAAGGCAGCCTAGACCTGTGTCAATCATTTTTCACTACCTCCTTGACCAGAACAGAACTTTGATATATATTTTGATTAAAAAACCCAAAAAACTGAAGGCATTACAGACAGAGAAAAAAGCTCTAAGAGGCAAGCGTACCCTTTTTCTGCACCTTCTGGTTCCAACACTGTTAATATTTGCATCTCAAATTTTACATCCTTGGAAACTGATGCTGTTTGGAAACCAAGCAGACGAAGACATGGCAAGGATGACACCTGTCTTTTTAACTAAAGGTGAGTGCCTGCTTTCTGTAACTTGGGTTTCTCATTATCTGAAAGAGCAGCTGTGACAGACAGACAGACAACTCCCCCCCCACTTCTGTGTGGCCACGAGATTGTGCTCATTCAGTTGGTTGAGACTCTTGCTATGGCTGAGTCTGCTCACAAAACCAGATTTCTGCAACATGCTCTCGAGCGTAGTCCCTTTGGAAACAAGACGTAGCACAGAACCTGGGCGCCTGCTACTGAAGTTATCTTACCGTGTGATCTGCCTTTGAGAAACACTCCTCCCTCCCTGCAATATTCTCCTGCAGCCATAGGGTGCCCAGATTACAGCCTCCTCTATGTAAATAGGAGGGAGCAGCTGACAGGGCATTTGAAACGAGGGGCTCTACATTTCAGACCTTTCCCCCTGACCCTTGAAAGAGACGAGGTCATGAAGGTGGAATACTTCAACCCTCCCTTTCTATCTGGTTGCCATTACCGCGGTGGGACTCACTGGAGCTTGTGTAACTGTATCTGGCAAGTTGTTAAGAGGCAAGAATAGAAGCTTCTCAGTAAGAGACAAGGGATGGAAAGCACCACTCCGCTCGTCAGGAACCGGGACTAGTAACCCCACCCCGACCGCGGAGAACGCCAAACCCACCTGCTCTTCCGGCATCAGGCTACTTCCGCTTCCTGTGACAACAACACCGTGCACCGGAAGTGCGGCTGTTGGTGGCCCCAAAAGAACGTCCGACTGCCCTACGCAAGCCGGCATCGCGCTACTTCCGCTTCTAGTGAGGCCATAGGTGCGCGCCGGAAGTGCTTGGGGGGCGGCGCCATGCTGTTCTCGCTGCGGGAGCTGGTGCAGTGGCTCGGCTTCGCGCCCTTCGAGCTGCTGCTGCACGGGCTGGCGCTGCTGGCCGCCTCCGTGCTGCTTGTGCTGAAGGTGGACGGCGCGGGCGCGGCGCTGTCGTGGTGGGCGGTCTTCGTGCCATTCTTCGCGGCTGACGGGCTGAGCACCTACTTCACGGCCATTGTGTCGGTGCGCCTGTTCCAGGACGGCGAGAAGCGCCTGGCCGTGCTGCGCCTCTTCTGGATCCTCACTCTGCTCAGCCTCAAATTCGTCTTCGAGATGCTGCTGTGCCAGAAGCTGGTGGAGCAGACGCGTGAGCTCTGGTATGGCCTCATCATGTCGCCTGTCTTCATCCTGCTGCAGCTGCTCATGATTCGTGCCTGCCGCGTCAACTGACCCTGCTGGTTGGGGCCTGGCGCTGCTGCCCTGGCCCAGGCGCTGACCTGATGCTCTAAGCCGAGACGTTTCGGGTTCCCTCCAGTCGCCACCCAGTGGCCTTGTGGCTCCAGGCCAAGATGTTTTGGGTACCATCCAGTTGCCGCCCATCAGCTTCATGGCTCCGGGCTGAGACATTTTGGGTTCCCTCCAGTCACCATGCATTGGCATCGTAGCTCCAGGCTGAGAAACTTTCAGTTGCCTCAAGCGGTTGCCCATTGGCATCATGCCCCCAGGAGGTCTCATGGCAGCCCCACAGCGTGTCTGAATTTTGGGGGTAGCGCATGAATGTCAGGAAGGGCCGATGCTGGTAGCTTGTGTTGGGTGTTTTGTAATATAAAGATGCACATGTGCCGCATCACCAACAAGAGGGCTTGTTTATGAAGCTTTGTCTGAGGATACTGCTGCATGCTGCTGTTGCCTGGGGAAGGTGGGCAAGTCCAGGGGGAGGGAAGCCTGCCTTGGACTTCAG